GGCCAGGCCGGCCTCGGAGGAGGAGGGACGTGCTGGCGGGGGGCCGGGAGGCCTGGAGGGCAGGGGCGCGGCGTACCGTCCCGGCCGGGCACCAAGGGCACTGGGACGCGGAGGCCGCGGGCTGGGCTGCCGGAGACCTGCCGTCGCCCCCGGGGCCGTTTTACAGGGACTCAGACCCCTGGCGACCCTCCCCTTCCTCAGGCGACCCGTGCCAACCCCGTTTCCTGCCGTACCCCACCCTCCGCGCTAGGGCTGGGGAGCCGCGCCCTCCCGTCAGACACGGAGTTCTGGAGGAGGCGCGCAGAGTGCCCCGAAGCGAGCCGGGGGCCGTCTCCTCCCTCCTGTTAAACTCAGTGCCGGTCGGGAAGCTGACATACTCTAGCCGCCCTGAGCTGATGGGGTTTGCGAGTTCCGTGTTGCATTGACCATTGGAGTCACCTGTCACCAGCACCGGGTCAGCGTGGAGAGTGTACTTAAAAAGCTTTCTTCCCTCTTTTCACCTTGGGTGACGTCGATAATGTCTTCTTTCTCAACAGGGGAACTGCCCTCTAGGGAGACGTTCCCTGCCTGGTAAGTTCTGCCCTTGCCGTCACCTAAAATGTTCTCCTCCCTGGCAGAGCGGTATGTGAAGAAATCAGGGTGCCTGTGGTTCTCCTAGTGTCCAGAGACGTTTCAGTGCAGACAGGAGCGAAACAAAAACGCTACTTCATCATGACAGCTACTGGCTACTCATTCAGCGTGTTTCTTGCACGTGCGGGTCAGGCACTGTGCTAGGCAGGCAGCAGGGGTATAGCAGTGGATGGGTCTGCCCTCATGGGGCCTGCAGGCCAGTGGGAAAGGCAAAGTGCAAATTGCTGAACAACTGAACAGCCATAAACTGGGCCAAGTGCTGAGAAGGAAACTAACGAGAGTCGACAGGACAGACTTCTTTGATTAGGTGACATTACCGTTGTGACCTGGAGGATGAGACATGAGGGAAGAGCATGTATGACGTCCCTGAGGAGAGAGCGGTTGGCAGGTTTATTTTTTTTTAATTTAGTAGTAGTATTTAATTTGCTATAGGGCACTAATTTAGTAGTAGTATTAAATTTGCTATAGGGCACAGGTGCTCACCAAAGAAAGAGAGATAACAAGCTGCCAGGTCTGGGACTTGAACTGTGGTCAACCATGTGGAAGTTCAGCACTTTAACCACCATGCCATGTGCTGGCCCCAAAGTTGGCAGTTTTAGGAACTGAAAAAAGGCAATTTGGCCAGAGCATTTTGGTTAAGGGAAAAGTGGCTTGAGATAGAAGCTGGTGTAGAGACTAATGGGAGGACTTCAGATTTTATCACAATAGTTTTGTATAGTTTTGTTTTTTTGAAGTTGTTGATAATCTATGTAGCTTATTATGTTATATGCCTGGCATAAATATTTGTTGAGTGAGTCTGTCTTATTGTGAGCTTTCTTTGTGCCAAGGATTGTTTTCAGTGCTTTTTGTGCTTTTTTTTAGTTAGTCATCAAAAAGTAGGGAGAACGGTATTATCTCTAGTCTACTTAAGACAGGAGAGGTTCAGTACTTCGGCCAAAGCCACTTGACCAACTCTTGGTCAAACCAGGTCCACCTGACTCTCAGCTGGAAACTCTTAATTCACCATGTTCTCGTTTACTCTTGTATTCAACAGATAATTTATTGAGTGCCTATTGCTTGTCAGCCACGGCGCGAGATGACAGGGATACAGATGGTCTCTACCCTCCAGGATTTAAAGGCTAGCTGGAGAGACAGTGCAAATACACATCTGTGTGCACATAGCACGTAATTACGTTGTGATTGCTCCCAAAGAGAAGTACATTGATGAGAATGTCTGATGCAGCCCAGCTTGAGAGGGTGGAGAATGCAGCGGAAATGTCCGCAAAGGCTTCCTTGAGGAAGTGACACTTAAGCTGACAATTGAAGAATTTATAGGAGTTAACCAAGAACATGATATTTCAAGCAGTAGGAATGCTTGTGCAAACTTTTCAGGCAGGAAGGGACCTGACCAATCTTAGAAATGGAAAGGAAGCCCATCTGGCTGGAAAGATAAGGAAGGCTGGACAGTGCAGGACCAGGTAAAGTGTTTGGACTTTATACCAAGAGTCATGAGAACAAAAGGTGCATAGTGCTGTGTTAGCTCACAGCGACTCTCAATAATAAACTTTTTTTTTCAACTGGGAATCCTGAAAAATGTCAGTAAACTTTTTTTTTTTTTTTTTTTCCCACTTTATAGAATGACAGGACAATGGTAAGAGCCTTGTATGCAGAGGTTTGCATCTTGGCTTAGGAATTCACCTTGGGCTGGTCACTTAACCTCCAGTAGCCATATGTATGTGTGTGTGTGTGTTTATATTGGGTTGTTGGAAAAGTCATGGTGCATTTTTTATAGGAAAACATAGAAAGATACGTCATGACTTTTCTGATGACTGTGTGTATAAGGAGAATAATGGCAGACAGTTGTGTTTCAGAGAGTTAGATGTAAAAATCAAAATGAGGTCATTATATGAAAGCTTGTCATAAACCCTAAAGCACCATACAGATCAACTCTACGTCGGACTCAGGGTTCCCAAAACCAGCATGGGTTGCTGACTGTTCTGACTGTTCTAGTTCCAAGACATGCTAGGCTTGTGATTTGTCTCATATGGTCATTACTTGACTCGGGATGTCTGTGAGAAGGTGGGGTATCTGTCTATCAGATAGCTGTATCTGATTTGGTGTCTCTCGATCCCATTATTCAGAAAGAGTTATTAATAGATCTGAAAACAAGATGCAAGAAAGAATATATTCGGGGGAGGCTCCAGAGTGGTTAGTTATCAGTTGGGAAATGCAGTTATCTATAATAATGAGCGTTGGGCAGCGTGAACGTGAGCAGGACAGACAGGAAGACAGTATACTGGAAAGTGGGGAGAAGAGCATGCAACCCCATGACAAGGAGAGACCCTGGGCCCGAAGGGTTCATGCAGTAAAATTTCCAGCCTAGTGCACTCAAACCCAGACCAAACATCCCCTCTGCTTTTCAACTTAGGTTTTGGGTAGTCATGCGTAAGCCATCACATGTCTTTTTCAGGCGTCATTTGTATTTGAAGACTTGGGACAGTAGAGATGTATCATTATGAAAACATACCAAGTTTTTCAAAATGAAGTTTGAATGAAAACACAATTATAGAACTACTTTGGGCTATGCCATCAGATTTCTCCCCTTTCCTCCCAAACACATGCCCCCTCTCAGCCCCACATACCTTCTGCACTCTGCTGTTAAGGCTCCGTGGTGGTGGTGGAAAAGAGGGGCAGAACTCCATGATAAAGGTTATATTGTTGCCTGTGGTTGCTCCTGCTCTGACTTGGGGCTATGTGGTGAACAGACCTCTTCCATTCCCAGCATGTATCTTATGTAAGACAAGAGTTGTTGGTTAAGAGTTGTTTTGTTTCTTGCAGGGGTCTCCTTTTGTCAGGGACCAGGTTACCCTGATAGCAGGAAGATTGTGTAAGTATCATGGGGGAGCACAGATATGTGGCCACTGGGTATTTATTAAGACCAGTTCTAAATTTGACCATTTGATTCCTTCATTGGCCTCCAGACCTAGAAGTCGAGGTGGTTCTGTTGGGTCCCCACACCGAAGCTTGATGCTAACGTTTTATATTTGTGATGTACTTAGAGCACCATCCCCATGTTAAGTGTTGACCTGAGAGTGTATTTTTCTTCCTGGGATGTTTAGATTATAATATACGTTAGGTTGGGAGGAATCCTCTTCTTGGGGGAATGGATATAAAAGGATGCTTCTAAATAGTCTGGTTGGCTACAGTGTAGTGGAGGGGTGGGGGTTACATTTATTGTGGAGATTGAGAGCATCGTCTTGGTAGCATAGTTAACTCATTTTAGAAACTAAAAGCAAAAGGCTATTGAGCCCCGGGACTTTGACTAGTTCAGAGGGAATGTTTTTATTGCATAATGCGGAGTTTGGAGAAAGGCCACCAGTGTGTGTTTCAGATTAACTTCTGCCGGTGACTGTTGCCTAACTGCCACTGTGCATTCCAAGTATTTCAGGGTGGTGGTAAGAGGATGCTCTCTAGAAACCTGTTCAAAAGGAATCGAGCTACTTTTCCTCTAGGGAGAATCTTCGAAGTGAAGGATCAGCAAATTAGCTTTTTCCTTACCGTGCATTACAATGTGTTTTGTTTTTTAATTGAGAAAACGTTACATAATTCAGTACAAAAAGTGAATTCCTGTGTTATTTTTGGAGGACAGTTGGCATTCATAAGTGTTTGAGTTATGCGTACCTTTTGATCTAACAAGTCCATGTGTAGGAATCTATGAGTATATGGAAGAACTATTGGTATACCCAGATTTCTCTCAAATTGGCACGCACCAGGGGGGTCATTTAAGCTATGGGATATTAACATGTACACACTTCAATGAATGGAAAAAAGCCAGGTTATAAAATAATTCCAATCCCATTATAAACATTTTTTCCACTGTTTTAGATATTCTGCAGTGAAAATCTAATGCTTTTGTAATTTAAAAGGTTAGAGATTAAAAATGTATTACTCGTGATACGAACGAAAATTGGGGCAATCATGACTCTCTGGAATAATGCAACAAATAATTATTTGAAAGTAAGTTAGGAAAATAAAATTGAACTTTAGGGGGGTTACTCTGATTGTGTCACCCTCATCTAGTATCTCTTTTTGTGTTGTGTTGTCTTTTTTCTGCAAATAAGGTCCCCATTTTATTTTTAAAACCTTTTTTTTTTTTTTAAGTTTTCTATTTTGTGGTCCAGTCGATGTTGCAGTGGTTAAGGTGGCTGCATCCCATATGGCCGACTGCACAGTTTGAGTCCTGGCAAGTCGCAGGCCCAGTGACTTGAAAAACACACTGGGTGCATGTGCGTGCACGGCCCAAAGCTGAGAGGAGAATGGAGGGGAAAGGGATTGCAGCATGGCCATCCCCCCGGGTGTTGCGGGAGGATTTCTCACTTTCTCTCTCTCTCTGTCTGTCTCTTCTGTGAGCACACATGGCTTATGGCAAAACTAAAATATATATATTTTTTTTTTTAGAGAGAGAGATTTTTGCTATAGGGCGTATGTGCTTGCCAGAGACAGAAAGTGAAAAATCACCCCCCATTGGGTGGGTGCACATGTGCCTGATGTGAGTTTGAAGCTGCTGGGTCCTGGACTCGAACAGCAGTTGGCCATGTGGGAGTAGAGCAATGTAACCATTGTGCCATCTGCTGGTCCCCCCAATTTTTCCCCAAATTGTTTTTAAAGAATTACTTTATTTACTATTATTATTTTTAATTTGACTAGAGAGCGCACGCGCGCGAGAGAGAGTGAGAGTGAGAAAGTGGGCTACCAGGTCCAGGATTTGAACTGTGGTCAGTCATGTGGGAATCTAGCGCTTTAATCCCCACGCCACCTGCCAGCCCTATAACATTTTTTATTTTGTTTTTATTTAATATATTTACATGTTTCAAAATTCAGAAAGGTATACATGAGAAGACTTTTATAATTGTCCTTCAGTCCTGCTAAATGCTGCTTACAATTTTTTTTTGAAGCTTATTTATTTCTTCCATGAACAAGAGAGAGAAAAAGATAGCACCCCTACATGGTTTAGATATTGTGCCATAATCCTCCCCCAGTTTTTGTCTGCCCCAGGTCCTGGGCGCAGGTGCACCTGGCATATGCAGGGAACTCTCTAGCCATGAACCCAGAACCCTCCCATGTTGGCCAGCCCCACAGAACTTTGAGTTTTACTGTCGAGCTACCATTTGATCCCCACTGAATGCCTTTTTCCAGAGGCAGCCAGTGCTCCACGTTCCTGGGTGTCTTGCAGAGCCATTTCTACATTTACACATTGCCTCTCAGCTCTTGCCCATGGGCATGTATTTTACCTGATTATATACTTTATGCAGAGCATTTTGTGTTATGCTGTTTTTAAAGGTTTTTGCCATAGTGTACTCCCCCGAGAGAGACAGAGTAAGAGGGAAAGTGGTGAGAAATCACTCCCTGAGGGGATGACCACACCCCAAGCCCTTTTCCATTCTCCTCCTGGGATTTTGGGCACTTACACACATCCACCTGGTGTGATTTTCAAGCCGCTAGGTCCGTGACTGGAACTACAGTTGGCCATGTGGGAGCCCAGCTCCATAACCACTGCGACCTGCTGGCCCTGTGTTCTGCATTTTTAGAGATAACTTAGATCTTTTTCTTTTTCTCTTTAGTTTAATATAGGGCATGTGCACTTGCTGGAGACAAATGGAGAGAGGGAAAGTGATAAAGCACCCCCTAGGGGCAGTGGCCATGCTGCAGTCCCTTCTTTATTCTGTCAGGATTTTGGCCGTGTGTGTGTACGCACACGCACACGCACACTTGCATGTTTTTTAAGCTGCCAAGTCCTGTGGTATATGGGATCCAGCCACCTTAACCATCATGACCCTGGCTGGCCCAATTTTTCCTTGATTCTACATAAGTTTTATATTTATTTTGATATTTTAAAAGTAAAAATATCACAAGGCAACTTAAGCTTATTTTATTTTTCTTTTAATTTTTTAAATGTAGTCTGCCAGAGGCACATGTGCTTGCCAGAGAGAGAGAGAGAGAGACAGACAGAGATAGAGAAAGTAGCCCTCCGCCCCCCCGTGGGGATGACTATGCTGTAATCTCCATTTCTCCTTTTGGTCTTATTTTGGCCATGCATGTACATGTGCCTAGCATGTTTCTCAAGCCGCCAGGTCTGGGACTTGAACTACATGGTCGGCCACGTGGGATCCAGCACCTTAACCATCACACCACGGACTGGTCATATTTTTCTATGCTATAGGTGCTTGTTATGTAGAGTATTTAAACTATCTTGAAGTGTAAAAAGTGAAAGCCTCCATCAGTCCAAATCCTTCTCCCAAACTGTGTATGTGTATAACATAACGATAGATACCATATTTATCTCCCATTCCACAGAGGTAACCATGGTTAATGGTTTTGTGCATATAGGGTGATATTACCATTTAATGTAAATGCCATATCAGAAAATAGGATGTCTTTCAAGTTCCTTTTGAATGTGTTCAAAAGGACTTGTTTGAATAGACTGATATGCTGCCTCCTAGCAAGGTAGTGGAGTAGAAGATGCCATTTGGGATTTTGGTGTTATTTATTTATTTTTGGCATAGTGCCTTGTTTTACTTTTAACTATTTCCTCTTGTTTCTTTATCATATCTAAATCTGTAATCTTAAGGACAGAAATTCCATCACACCTTGCACGTGATTTGTACCTGGAGGGCATGCTAAATCTCTTACTAGGTTTGAGTTATGTAAGAAGCCTAATGCCCAGTGCAGTGACGGGAGCCTGAGGTCCCTCCTACCTGGGAGGCTGAGGCAGGAGGATCCTGGCAGCAATGTGCTGTCTAAAATGATTTTTCTTTTAAAATGGACAGAAAGTAACCTAGTTAGGAAGCTAAGATCTTTGGGAAAACCTAGTTGGGAAGCTAAGATCTTTGGGGAAGTCTGTAAAAGGTGAAGCTAACTTACATTTTTCTTTGAAGAATCAAATATAAATCTTTTTTGTGAGAGCTGGCATCTCATTGCAGCTCCGGAGCCTGGATCCTTGTGAGGAGCTCACCGTGTAGGGCACCCCGCTCAGGATCTCAGGAACCTTGACATCTGTACTTTGAAAAAGTTACCCCAGGGACAGCAGGTGGCATGGTGGTTAAGGGGTTAGACTCCCATGTGGTTGACCACAGTTCAAGTCCTAGACCTGGCGGCTTGCTTTCTCACTCTCTCTCTCTGGTGGATGTACATGCCCTATGGCAAAATTTAAAAATAATAAATAATTCAAAAAGAAAAAGGTCCCCAGGTGACACTGAGTGGCATCATGGTCAGGAATCCGTAATGTAAAAGGAAGGTGACCTCTGGTGCTCTAACTACCAGTATGTGAGAGGTCTCCCTGCTCCAGGAGCTAATTTTTATGTTTCTTTTGTAGAATTAACAGCTCTAGTGTCTTCAACATCAACGTTCGCTTCTTCAGAACTACAGCTGTGTGTAGTAAGTAACTGCCTTCAGCTCCCTGCCTTCTTGGAAATGGGATTTTAGTAGAAAGAGCAATAATTGAGTTTAATCAAAGAAAAACATTAAAATGGAAAAGATGGACTACTTGTGATTTTCTTTTTTGCTTTTCTCCTAGAGGATGATGTGGTTACAGTCAAAACCCCAGCATTCGCAGAATCTGTCACAGAGGGAGATGTCAGGTGGGAGAAAGGTAAGGTTTAGTTGTGTCTTGCTTCTTAAGTTTAAATACTTTCTAAACATCTTTCCTTTACCCACAGAAACCAGTGGAACCTATGGTTCCACCTTTTTTTAAATATACATTCAGACCTTTCCCCGGCTTTCTAGGAAGGGGTTTAGGGAACCCTGCCCAAAGGGGTTTTATGGCTACAGGAGGCTCCTACTAACAGGTAGCCTTTGGTTGTCTTTTCAGCTGTTGGAGACACAGTTGCAGAAGACGAAGTGGTTTGTGAGATCGAAACTGACAAGGTAAGCTTGTCCTATATAAGTGCACGTTTCTTGTGGTCTCCTTTAATTACTTTTTATTTTTGAGAGGTTTTTACTTTAGGTGCATGTGCTTGCTAGAGAGACAGAGACAGAGAGAAAGTGAGAAGTCACTCTCCATGGGGGATGGCCACACAGCAATCCCTCCTGTATTCTCCTCCCGGGATCTTGGACACGTACACACAAGCACCTGGCATGATTTTCTTTCTTTCTTTCTTTTTTGTTTTAAATAATTATTTATTTTATGTATTCATTCATTCATTCATTTTTTAATTTGACCAGAGAGAGACAGGGTGACAGAGAGAGAGGAAGTGAGAAAGCAAGCCACCAGATTCAGGACTTGAACCCTGGTTGGCCACGTGGGAGTGTCCAGCGCCTTAACCACCACACCACCTGCTGGTCCCACCTGGCATGATTTTCAAGTCACCAGGTCCAGTACTGAGACCATGGTCAGCCATGTGGGAGTACAGCAACGTAATCACTATGCCATCTGGTGGCCCCTCTCTGTGGTTTCTTAACCTAATGAAATAAGCAGCGACTTCATTGAACTAGCTCAGACCTCACTTTAAACATGTTGTAATCGCTCATTAAAAAGAAAAAAGAATACATGTTTAATTTTAAGGGAATGTTATACACTGTGCTCATGGTATTGTAAATTAGTACAACTATTTTGTAAAATGATACGGGGGTTTGTCAGAAAACTAAAAATAGAATTACCATATAGTCTACCAATCTAACTATTGGATTTGTACCCAAAGGAATTGAGATCAGTATGCTCAAGAGATGGGTAGTCCTAGGGACCAGCGGTTGGCATAATGGTTATGTCGCTGGACTCCCATGCAGTTGATCGTGCTTCGAGTCCTGGACCCAGTGGCTTAAACTCAAGCTGGGCGCATGTGCGTGTATGCCCAAGATCCCAAAAGGAAAATGGAGGAGAAATCCTGTGCTCACTGTGGCATTATTCACAGTAGCCAAGATAGGGAAATATTCCGCGTATCTACCAGTGGATGAATGGATTTTAAAAATGTGTTAGCTTTTAGGCCAACAGACGGTGTGGAGTGTTAAGGCGGTTGGACTCCATGTGACTGACTGCATGATTTTAGTCCCAGACCTGGTAGCTTAAAAATCACACTGGGCAAATATGTGTGCATGCCCAAAATCCTGAGAGGAGAATAGGGGAAAAGGGGTGGCAATGTAGCCATCCCTCCCAGGGGTTGATTTCTTACTTGCTCTGTCTGCCTCTCTCCAGCAAGTTCATGTGCCCTATAGCATACTAACTAAATTTGTTTTTAAAAACATGGTAGATGGGGACCAGCAGATGGCGTAATGATTACATCACTGGACTCCTACGTAGTCAATCGTGGTTCAAGTCCTGAACCTGGCAGCTTAAAACTCACGCTGGGTGTGTGTGCGTGTGTGCCAAGATCCCAAGAGGAGAAGGGATTGTGGCATGGCCACTCCCCCTGGGGGGTGATTTCTTGCTTTCTGTCTCTCTGTCTCTCTCTGTCTTACTGGCAAGGGCACACGACCTATAGCAAAAACCTCTCAAAAAAAAAAAAAAACAAAGCCACCAAATCTAGGACTCGAACCATGGTGGGCCATGTGGGAGTCCAGCCCCTAAAAGAAAAAAGTGGTAGCTTTGTGTGTGTGTGGTTCATGCGCTGTTTCCAGTTGTTTTTAGGGTATCCCTCAGGATACGCGGCTGAGAAAGGCCAAAAAGGGTGAATCTTTACAATAGCAATGACTCGTCATCACTCTTACTCTAAAATTAGCCTTCGGGTATTTCTGCATGCAGGATCTTGAATATCTGTTGTGACTCTCGTGACTTATATTGGAGATGCCATATAATTGATGTCCTTAATGCTGGATAAAAATGTGGACTTTCCCCATTTGTCTTCCTTTCCCAGACATCTGTGCAGGTGCCATCACCAGCAAATGGCGTGATCGAAGCCCTTTTGGTACCCGATGGGGGAAAAGTCGAAGGAGGCACTCCTCTTTTCACACTCAGGAAAACTGGTGGTAAAGAAGTTCTCCTGGTGGTCAAGGTCTCCGGTGTTCCCCCTTGGGATTCGGGCTGAGCGTAATGTTCCAACTCCCTGATCTCCAAGACACTCTCGTTCCAGTTGCCCTTAGTTGAAGGGATAAGAGTAATATTTATATAGAATGAACTTTAAATGTCAAATTCTAGGAGAAAAGGGTATTGTAAAAAATAAACCTCATAATGCTCTGGTTTTTACCATGGGCATTTCTTATGCTAGACATTTTCTTAAAGACATAATAGAAATGGACTGGCTCCATGGTACAGCGGGTAATGACCTGCTCAAAAAAAGCTGGATCGAGGCCGGCAGGTGGCATGGTGGTTAAGGGCACTGGATTCCCACATGACTAACTGTGGTTTGAGTCCTGGACCTGGTGGCTTGTTTTCTCACTTTCCCTCTTTCTCTCACCCTCACTCTCTCTCACTCTGTCCTTCTCTGATCAAATTAAAAATAAATAAATAAAGTTAAATAAAGTAATTCTTAAAAAATAATAAATAAATAAAAGTTGGATATTGGCCAGCAGGTGGTGTCGTGGTTAAGGGCACTAGACTCCCACATGGCCGACTACAGTTCAAGTCCCAGACCTGGTGGCTTACTTTCTCACTTTCTCTTTCTCTCTTTCTTTCTCTCTCTCTCGCTCTCACACTCACTCTGTCCCTCTCTGGTCAAATTTAAATAAATAAATAAAGTTAAATAAAGTAATTAAATAGAAAAAGCTGGATCTTAGGTGGTGACTGGTTTGAATCCCCAGCCCCGTCAACCTGAAACCTGCCAGGCATGTGTGCTCAAGATCCAGTAGACTGGAGGACTGGAGGGAAGGGGATTGCAGCATGACAAGACCCTGTGGAGGGTGCCCCCTCCCCTGTCTCTCGCACACACACGTGTGTGTACATGTGCTCTGCCATGAAGAAAAAAATTTTTTTAAGAATTACTTTATTTTCGGGACTAGCAGTTAGCGTAATGGCTATGTCTCTGGACTCCCACATAGGCGACCGCGGTTTGCATCCCGGACCTGGTGGCTTAAACTCACGCCGGGCGCGTGTGTGTGCGTGCCCAAGATCCCGAGAGGAGAATGGAGGAGAAGGGATTGCGGCGTGGCCATCCCCCCTTGGGGGTGATTTCTCGCTTTCTGTCTCTCTGTTTCTCTCTGTCTGTCTGGCGAGCGCACGCGCCCTATAGCAAAAACCTCTCCAAAAAAAAAAAGAATTACTTTATTTTCACTTTATTTATTTATTTATTTTAATTTGACCAGAGAGGAATAGAGTGGGGGGTGGGGAGAGTGGAAAAGCAAACTGCCAGGTCCGTGACTCAAACTGCCGTCGGTCATGTGGGAGTGCAGCACCTTAACCACTATGCCACCTACCAGTCCCAAGAAAATAATTCCTGAAAAAAGAAAGGTATGGTAGAATTGAAGATGTTTCTTTTTTTTTTTTTTTAAAGAATTGTTTTATTTTACTTATTTATTTTTAAATTTGACCTGACTGAGACAGAGAGAGAAAGAGAGGGAAAGCGAGAAAGCAAGCCACCAGGTCTGGGACTCAAACCACGGTTGGCCATGTGGGAGTCCAACGCCCTTAACCACCATGCCACCTGCTGGCCCGAATTGAAGGTGTTTCTAAGGACAGTAATTTCCCTCCCCCAGCCCCTACCAACCCTTACATCAGAATAACATGGGAGCTTTAAGAATAATAATGAAGACAACCCATTTTCCAGGACCCCTCCCTTCTTGGGAGCTTTCCTTTTCCTTCCTCCCTTCTTTAATAAACTCCCCACTTTGCTGTACCTTTAAAAAATACTACTAATAGTAATGAATGACTAGGTCAGTGCCTGAGATTCTGGGTCATCAAATCTTGGTTATCATAGTTTTTGTTTTGTTTTGTTTTAAAGGGTTATTTTTATTTAACTCTATATTTAATTTGACCAGAGAAGGTCAGAGAGAGAGAGAGAGAGAGAGCAAGTCGCCAGGTCCGGGACTTGAACCACAGTCGGCCATGTAGAAGTCCAGTGCCCTTAACCACCATGCCATCTGCTGGCCCCATAGGTTTGTTTTTAAAGTGCTCTCTACGTGATTCTGATACATACTGAGGGCCGAGAGCTACTTTTCTGTAGAAAGTGAAAAGAAGTGGTATTTTATGGTGTCTCTCTCTTTCTCTTTCTCTCTTTCTCTCTGGCAAGTACATATACCCTCTGTCAATTAAAAGAAAAAGAAAACAACCTGTAGTTAAGTGCTATAACTACTTAATCTCTCTCTCTCTCTTTTTTTTTTCCTTAAATTTTTGCTACAGGGCTTGTGTGATTATTGGAAAGACAGATCGAGGGAAAGTGAGAAATCACCCCCAAGAGGGGATGGTCACGCTGTACTCCCTTCTCCTCCATTCTCTTGGGATTTGGGACACACACACACACACACACACATACACGCACGCACGCATGCACTTGGCGTGATTTTCAAGTCACTGGGTCCAGAATAGGAGCTGTGGAGTCAACCATGTGGGATCTAGCACCTTAACCTCCACATTAACTGCTGGCCCAAGTCTGTTTCTTTTTAAGTGTTGAAATAGTTAAGTAGAAAGATGGTAGATGACATCATTGAGGTTGATCAGGACAGCAGCTCAGAGTCGGAAAAAATGAATAGAAAGCTAGGAGGTAAAAAGGAGTTCTCCAGTAGAAGAAGTCCATGTTCTAATCATTCTGTAATGTTAAAATTCTTTATATACAACTGGATATGATATCCAGAGGGGTAAGAATCGAAATCAAGATCTAATTTGAAGTAGTGGACTTTATACTTCATCACCTCACTGACATAGGAAAGTCCCCCTACTTGAAATGCTTTGAACTCTTAAGCCTAAACGAGCCCTTGATTAAACTTTTCTTTTCTAATAGTTATGAGTATTCTTCCAAATGTAATGTTAAAATAGTAGGTGCGATTACCAATATTACCAGAGTTGGAAACATGTTATATTTATGTGTGTGCTTTAACATTTTAAATTGCCTGGGCAGTTTTGGCTCGGACTTTTCCATTTCCTTGGGCTCAGTAAGTGCTTTGAAAGTAGATGATCGATGGACGTTTGTGAAATCAGAAGGGCGACGGAATTGAGCCAGTTATCTGACAGAGGACATTTAGGGGCCCTGGGGTAATGAAGAATAGTGCCTTGTGTCATCGCGTGTCTGTCTTCGTGCCTTTCATGTAGCACATACCCAGGAGAGGTCTGTTAATTGATTGAGATAGAGCTCTTGCTGCTGAGTTCTCAGAATCTGTGATTTGGTTGCGTTCCATTCCAGACAGTGCCAGTGGCATCTGTTTTCTTGTTTTCCAGCTGCTCCTGCTAAGGCCAAGCCAGCGGAAGCTCCTGCTGCTGCAGCCCCAAAAGCAGAGCCTACACCGTCGGCAGTTCCTCCTCCTGCAGCACCCATACCTGCTCAGATGCCACCAGTGCCCCCGCCCTCACAACCTCCTTCTAGCAAGCCAGGTACGCCGCCAGTTCCCATGAGTCTCTGTGTGAGAGAAGAGTATCTCCTCTACCTCTCCCTCACAGGTTCAGGGCTGAGGCTGCTCATGGCTCTGAACTGGCCAGGTTGGCCTGACGGAAGGAAAGAATTCTATACTTTGTATCTGAAGACCTGGTTTTGTGTCCCAGCTTTTTTTTTTTTTTTCTTTTTCTTTTTTTAAAGAAAAAAACTTTTAATTGTCAGGACATGAGAGGTCATCGGAGAGAGTGAAAGGAAGTGCCTCCTAATGAGGCTTGGTCACACCACCGTCTCTTCTCTTCCTCTTCTCCATTAGAATTTGCACACACGCACACATGGCTAATGTGTTTTTCAAGCTACTAGAGGTTAAACTGTGGTTGACCATGTGGGATCCAGCCCTCTTAACCACTGTGAGGCCAGGCTGTCTCAGCCTCTTGTTTCCTAGTGGTGTGTCTGTAGGCTAATTAGGTACCTTCTCTGAGGAGATGCTCATCTGTGGAGTCAGAATGATACTAATGCACCTTAGAATATCTCAAAGGTAAAGCCAGTATTTGGCATGGTGGTTAAGGCACTGGACTCCCACACGGTTGACTGTGGTTTGAGTCCTGGCCCTGGAGGCTTGAAAATCATGTTGGGCACATGTGTGTGCATGTTCAAAATCCCAGGAGGAGAATGGAGGAGAAGGGATTCCGGTGTGGTCATCCCCCCTGGGGCGGTGATTTCTTACTTTCCCTCTTTCTCATTCTCTGGTGAGCGCATGTGCCCTGTAGCAAAAAACATTTAAAAAAAAAAAAAAAAAGGTATCTTGCAGGTTAAGTGGTAATAGTGTAAAACCCTGGAATGTTTCTCCCCTCTGATATAGCTATATCTGTGCCTTCCATTTTCAGTGTCTGCCATAAAACCCACCGCTGCCCCTCCACTAGCTGAACCAGGAGCTGGCAAAGGTCTGCGTTCAGAACATCGGGTAAGCCTTCGAAGACCACTTCTAGAAAAGAGGCAGGGGGTGGTGTTGAGATTAGTGGAGTGTTGGTGTGGTAGTCCCCACCTCTGAATGACTAGCAGCCCTGTCCCTCAACCTTGACAGAAAAATAGAGTTTAGCAAGTGTCTTGTTCATAGTCACATAATCATCACATTGTAGAACTACAATCTGGGGTTTTTCTAAACACTCATCCGGCGGTTTTTCTGTTGTATTATGTTACCAATGAAATGCCTTGGGTAAGTAACTTATTTGCAGGAGATTGTAGCTTAGTAACACACCCCCTCTTGCCCACAGTGACACACTTCAAAGAGGTAGTTTAGTGGGCTCTGTTCCTGTACTTCCGGGACACTTGGCTATAGCTAAAGGATACTGCACAGTAGCAGTAGCTATCAGGAGCAGACATAAAACCTCAAGGAAGTATGGTCAAGAGTGTGGGTTCCTCTGCTTGAGAATACTTCCTAAAAATATTATAGCCTCAAAAGTTTGTTGCTTGTGAGTTTCCATTCTATAGGTAGCTGTTCTCATGCAAGTCTTTATCAATAGAAATTGACCTTTCTGAAATGATTCTTAGGCTGGCTAAACTTACACCACATTCTTCCTTTTTTGTAAATTGGTTTTGGTTTTTAAATCAAACCATTTCCTGGGCCTCCATTCTCAGTAAAACTTCAGGCACATCTAAGTGAGTAGTCTTTTTTTTTGGGCGGGGGGGAGAGGTTTTTGCTGTAGGGCGTGTGTGCTCGCCAGACAGACAGAGACAGAGAGACAGAAAGCGAGAAATCACGCCCCAGGGGGGATGGCCACGCCGCAATCCCTTCTCCTCCGTTCTCCTCTTGGGATCTTGGGCACGCACACACACGTGCCCGGCGTGAGTTTTAAGCCACCAGGTCCAGGACTCGAGCTGCGACTGACTACATGTGAGTCCAGCAACATAGCCATTATGCTAACTGCTGGTCCCTCTGAGTGAGTAATCTTGGCCTATGTTTTCTGTTCTCACTCAGAGGAGGAAGGTTATCACAGGAAAGGTGAAGCCTGGATCTTGTGTACTTAGATATACTACTCTTTGGCCATCACTCCTGGCAGGCTGGGTGATCTGACTACGGGGGTGGGGGTGGGATATCTGTCCCAAGACACCAACAAGCAGTGCTTGTTCCACTTTTCATTTTCAGGAGAAAATGAACAGGATGCGGCAGCGTATTGCTCAGCGTCTGAAGGAGGCCCAGAATACATGCGCAATGCTGACGACTTTCAACGAGATTGACATGAGGTGCACTCGCTCATCCCTGTTGTTCCCCATGTCCTTTGTTCTTGGAGAACGTTTGGGCCTGCCTCCCTGCTCACCCTGGTGTTCATTCCAAAACTAACTTGATCGACAGGGAAGAGGTGCTTCTTTGCTCTGCTTCTTGTTGACTTATACAGAGTGACCTGGTTTCATCCTCTAGTAGACTGTCCTAATACTATGCCTGCCGCCTCTATCACTCCAAAAGGTAGCCTTTTAGACACTTTTTTAGGTTTTTGTATAGGGCACATGCACTTGCCAGAGACAGAGGGAATGAAAGTGAAAAATCATCCCCAGGAGGCATGGCCATGCCACAGTGCTTTCTCCTCCGTTCTCTCAGGATTTTTGGGCACGTGCACATATGCCCCTGACATGATTTTCAAGCCGCTGGGTCTGGAACTCAAACTGTGGTTGACCATTTGGGAGTCCAGCCTTAATCACAATGCCACCTGCTGGCCCCACCTTTTAGACTTTTATACCTGAGTTTTGTGTTTGCTGATATATGAGGCTGATATTAAACTCTGATCACAAGTGTCAAGTTGCCAAGCAGAGAAAGAGTAACCAGACCAATGAAGCTTACACTCAGGCCTTCCCTTTTGGGATGAAGGACCCTTAACAGTTACACTGAGTTAGTTCCTCTGGTTAACATTCCTCCTTAACAGAGCCAGAACACTGCACCCGCTTCTTTCTCCCAGTGACGACTACTTAGCTTGTTCTTAAGCAGCTCCAAATAAATGACAAGGCGTGTAGACTTGTCATGTCTTCCATTTTTCCAGCTTTGATAGTGAAATAGAAAGCAAGTTGTGTTTTAAATTAAAAACCTCAGATGGGACCACCAGGTGGTGTGGTGGTTAAAGTGTTAGACACTCCCACACAACCGACCACGGTTTGAGTCCCGGACCTAGTGGCTTGCTTTCTCATTTTCCCTCTCTCTGTGTCTCTCTCTGGTCAGATTAAAAAAGTAATAATAAATGAACAAATTAAAAAATGTTGGGGGTCAGCAGGTGGTACAATGATTACGTCACTGGACTCTCATGTAGCCAACCGCAATTTGAGTCCCGGACTCAGTGGCTTGAAACTCATACCAGGTGCATGTGTGTGCTTGTCCAAAATCCTAAGAGGATACTGGAGGAGAAGGGATTGCGGCACGATTTCTCGCTTTCTATCTCTGTCTCTCCGGCGAGTGCTCACAACCTTTAGTAAAAATTTCTCTTAAAAAACAAAACAAAAACCTCAGAATGTTAACCAGAGGAACTAACTCAGTGTAACTATTTCTGTAATTACTGACTCCCCTATTGTCTTCAGGATTCTGATGTGCATGTAAGGAGGAGGAAGTAGTTAAATTTAACATTTTTAGAGTGCTTACTACAAACAAGATGTTGTACTGTGGAATGTAAGAGGGATAAAATGAATGAGAAAGAACCCAGGACCTCTTAGAGCATACCATCTGTTTTGTGAACATAAAAAATAGAAGAATAAGTTTCGGAAAGGTAAGAATGAGTGTGACACGGAGAGGAGAGTGAGGGCATTTCTTTTTAAGGTTGAGGGTAAAGGTGGAGAGGGTAGGGTCGGGAAAGGGTTCCTGGAGGAGAGAGATGTTTAATAGGTCTTGAAGAATGACGAGCATTTTGCCTGGTAATGTTCTGGGAAAAGGGCGTTCTAGAATGCCCGTATGCCGTTCGGAATACGGCCTGGGATACAGATAGGAAGGTAGCAGGCACCTCTGAGGCATGGTTAGATCATTTCCACTGTGAGGAGGAGTATAGGAAAGGGTCCATCGGGATGTTCTCAATGCCAGAGGAAGCGTTTGTATTTAACTTAGGATATAACTCAGCAAGTCCTTATGCCATCTTTTTGCTGCTTTTTATCTAGAGTGTTTAGTCTATGAATTTATGTGAGGGAAATTTGTTTTCCTTTGCAAGGGCTGTGTGTGATCTAGGAAGGGAATGGCGTATTGCTGTGTCCTGCAGCGTTGTTCACAGGCGGGTCACTTTGTGGGCTATTTCACTAGATGTCATCTAGTCTAGTGCGAAGCTTTCTGGAGAGACTGGATGCCATTCAAGCCAAAGATTCCTCTCCTGGACAAAGGATGCAGGGAAGGGCCTGGACTAATGAGTCTCAGAGGCTGCAGCTTATGTTTCAGTGTGTTAGGGCCAAATTGTACACAAATTGAATTAGACTTTGAAATTGTACCCAATTTCTTAAGAGGAAACATGTAAATATTTGTGGCCTTGAAAGATGCAGTTGGACCAACAGCTTTGTTGGAAGTTAAGCATAATAGCTGGATCTCCTTTCAGCAGCTAATCGAGGTGTCACTTAACCATGGCCTGGGGTCCTGCGCAGCCAGTAATCTGGTTTGGAGCCAGGGCCCTTTGGGTCTCGTACTGATCAGCTAACCCATAGGGGCCTTTCTGAGACTTCCTCCGTTCCCCCATTGTCCTGGCCTCTGTCTTCAAGGGCAGATCTTTAAAATAGAAACTACTTAATGACCAGACAATAGCATTTGGGCAAGCTTCAGAGCAGAGATGTTTATCGTAGCTGTTTTTTCTTCTGTGGGTCTTCTGTCTTGGGAACCAGTAATGTCTTTAGGGTGGTAATCCTAGCACTAAATAAGGTTAGACTCAGGAAAACAAGCATTTTAAACCCAGTCAGTCCCCCTAGGAAATGGACCTTAAAAGGAAAGGTCTGAAGGGGGCAGTGAAAGTTGTACCACATCTTATCTTTCCTGCTAATGTCCAATTAGGCCATTAGAGGGAGAAGGGGGAGAGTTGAGTATTGAATATTTGGGCCTGAGATGAGGTTAAATTTGATTCAGATCATGAAACTCTGTTCTGATAAGTACAGATTTCTACAGCAAAATAATGGGAAAGCCATTTTCCACTAACTCTGAATGTGAAAAACAAAATGAACAGTCCCCAGAAGAACGAAGAGTGTTCACATCGTAAAGGCTTCTTGGAAGGCCCTGCTGTTTAGTCTGAAGGGATAAGCCTAGGTCTACTTGTGGCCATGTTTCTAAATACCAAAGAAATCATATCTTTTAAACTAATCTTTTTTAAAAAAAGAAAGAAAGAAAAACATTTATTTACTTATCTGTTTGTTTGTTGTGAGTTTTGGGCCGTTGCATATGGGACTTGAACCATGTGTGAGTCTAGCATCTCAACCTCCGTGCCATCTGCTGACCCCCATTAAACTAGTCTTAAAAGCAAGCACTGCATCTTCATTATCTTTGTGTCTTATTGCCTGGCCCTGACCCTCACGTGTGGTGGGTGTTGATAACCTATTTGGAAAAACTAGTAGAGGGAACTGCCTACTCTGGGAGTGGGAGGAGAGAGAGAGAGAGACAGACAGACAGACAGAATCTACTGCCTTTCCCATGAGCCTGAAAGAACAGTGGGCTCTATACCCTCCTATGGATCTTCATGACTGCTGTTGCTTGCGTGGAATCCAGGTACCCTTGGGGGGGTTTTGTTATCACTAATCAAGAGAAAGGAGGAATGTCATAAGGAAGTCATAATCAGGTTTGGTAGGTTTTTTTTTTGAAAGTTCTAACAAATAATTTTTTTTAAGTATTGGTTATTTTATAGTCTTTTTTTATACTTTTAAGAATAAATATTTTTTAGGGTGAATAGCCATAATTTTAGTGTAGCCAGAAATCACTCTTTCATCCAAAGATGTTACTGTGCCTTGGGACCTCTTGTTTATATCCGTCACTGAAATCTGGGCCTTCCAGGTCATGAAGGAGCCCTGTAAAGGGTCCAACCCACCCTAAAGACAGACTGGACTGTCTTCCTTTATGTCCAGTGTTTGTAAAAGAACAAGGTGATTGTGTTCACCTCTGGTGGACTATTTCAAAACTCGAACTTAGGTAGATGATCCAGAGTAAGGGAAACGCTTACTCAGTTATGTACGTGGAAAGTCAAAATCAAGGCTTCATTTGTAGTCACTTTGTTTTGTAATCTCTCTTTACAGCAACATCCAGGAGATGAGGGCTCGGCACAAAGATGCCTTTCTGAAGAAACATAACCTCAAACTCGGCTTCATGTCAGCGTTTGTGAAGGCCTCCGCCTTTGCCTTGCAGGAGCAGCCTGTTGTAAATGCAGGTGAGTTTGTTGTGGCCCAAATTCACCAGGAGGTTGGTGCATAAACACAAACCTGTTTCTACGCTCAGGGAGTCAGCAGATCAAGACTTTTTATTTTATACCTGTGGAAGTACGACTGTCTCCCCTAGAGACCTGGTTTACCTTCCTGAAAGGGCATCACAGTTTCTTTCTCCCTACCAGCTGGACAGAAGAGTTGTCTTCCTGCTGCACAGCTTGGCAGCCACTCAGGCAACAAGCAGTTCTGGAGCAGCCCAGCTCTCCAGGCTGTCCCGTGTTAGAGCGGAAACTCCTGTTCTGGCTACCCCTCTCTTCTCCCACTGCCCATGGCCCTCTTACCTTGGGGCCTTACTTCCACACTGGCATAGGCTCCAGGGTGACCTTTGAGCTCCGGTCGATTGGCCTCATTGGGCCTTGGGCTTGGTCTCTCTCACAGACTTGCTGCTCCTTTTCCCTTTTGCTCACCTACGTCATGGAAGTGTTGAACTAACAAAGTTCTTTTCCTGTTGAGACACTCCCCGGGAGAGTGCGAAGGGAGCAGTGACACTTGTGCAATCTTTAGCAGTGCCAGGATTCCTAAAGGTCTACAAGTAGAAGCCCTGGTCTCTTCCACTGAGTGGTGTGCTCTAGGCGGCTAGAAGGGCTGTGTTTTGCCCAAGGATGTACCTCTGTTCTCCCCTTCTCATGCCGCTGGCTCTCTCCATCTTTTCCGCTGACTCCCTTTCTTGCCTGCCCAAGTTCTCTTGGCCTCTTTTTCTCTTGCTGTGCTTTCCTTGGGCATCTTATCTAATCATACAACTTTCTGTGGGAAAGATTTCCAAGACACTATTTTGTCATGAATGCTAGACATAAATTTTTAGCTTCTAGTTTGCTACCTCAAGTTAGTATATTTAAGGGAAGACTACCCTACTTTCTCCTGAGTCTCCTAGAAAGAGGCTTTCCTCTTCCCCTTGTTGAAGGGCAAAGTGGCCAGCACCCCATGCCATGTTTTCTTTGCCAGTTTGCCTGTTTTGGAGCACATATTAACTCAAGCCATTCTCTGCTAAGGAGGGCTTGAGTAGATCTAGTTAAAGAGAGCCTAATGTGTCCCTATTTTATGAAGTCCAGTGTATTGAGCCCTTCTGAAGGCTGCCAAAGACATGGATGCTCCTCTGCCTGGGCTCAGTCAGGGCTCTGGGAGCTATTGCAGTTGGCTGGGGTGGGAGTATATGAAGTGCCAGCTGCCATTTGTAATGCAGTGCTTTTCGTGTTGGTTGGTCAGCACACGCTACCAAGCACTGCAAATTTGTACTCAATATTAATGCAAATACTACCTCCCCTTGGCCTGGGGCGCAGTCTGTAACTTGTGTTTTTTCTCTTATAGTGATCGATGACACAACCAAAGAGGTGGTGTATAGGGATTATATCGACATCAGTGTTGCAGTGGCCACCCCTCGGGTATGTTGGGCAGGAGGTGGAGAGTGCTGGGCTTGAGCCAACCTCAGTGTGAAGAAACAGATTTCATAGGAGAGTTGCATTTCTTTAATTCTGTTTTTCTAGAAAGGACTCGATAAGAGGTGTTTTTTTTTTTTTTTTTTTTTTTTTTTTTTTTTTTTTTTTTTTTATAAGGGTGTTTTTTTTTTTTTTTTTTTTTTTTTTTTTTTTTTTTTATGTTTTTGCCATAATGACACATGCATTTGCTGGAAAGAGAGAGAGAGAGACGATGAGAGGGAAAGTGAAAACTCACCCTCCTCCCCCCAGGGAGCATGGCCATACCACAATCCCTTCTCCGTTTTCCTCCTGGGATTTTGGGCACACCTGCAAATGTGCCTGGTATGATTTTCAAGCCTCCAGATTCGGGACTCGAACCACAGTTGGCCCATGTGGGAGTTCAGCACCTTAACTACTATGCCACTTGCTGGTCTTGAAAGAGCTTTTTTTTATCAACCATACCACATTTTTTTTTAAGAATTATTTATTTAACTTTATTATTATTTTATTTGCTACAGGGTACGCGCACTCACCAGAGAGATGAAGAGAGAGAGAGAGAAAGCAAGCCTCCAGGTCTGGGACTCGAATTGTGGTCGGCCATGTGGGAGTCCAGCATCCCAACCACCATACCACCTGCTGGCCCCACCATACCACATTTTTTTATTTTCACGTCAAGCCTACATATTTTAGACTTTCTGTGAATCACATCCAGTAATGAAGGTATTCTGGGGAGGGGAGACCATGGGCTTGAATCAAGGGGGCTGTGGCTAAGAGGGAATTATTAATTTGTTTTTGTTTTTACTAAAAACAGCTTTTCACTCCCTTTAGGGTCTGGTGGTTCCCGTCATCAGGAATGTGGAAGCTATGAATTATGCAGATATTGAACGAACCATCAGTGAGCTGGGAGAGAAGGTAAAGCAGGAGGCAGGTGTAGGAGCCAGTGGGCAGGTGAGGGAAGAACCCGCGAGAGCCCCGACCCAGCGAGCTGGAGTCTCACTTTGTGGCGTAACAAGTGACGAGGCCTGAGACGGGCGGTGGCCCTTAAAAGCTGAGTGTAGCGAGCTCTGGTAACTGGCATCTCATCCAATGAGACCTCCCAGGAAGTCCTTGACTCTGGAACCATGCCTTTTCTCTGGTGGAGCACTGGTCACAAAGTCCTCAGCAGAAACCGTCATGTGGAAACTAGAGCTTGTACTGTTGTGCTCGGATACAAGTTTTCTGGACTTTCTTTGGGTGAAGGAAGTGGAGTTGGCTTAATATTTAATTATAAACTCTGTTTCTAGGCACGAAAGAATGAACTTGCCATTGAAGATATGGATGGTGGCACATTCACCATTAGCAATGGAGGCGTTTTTGGCTCGCTCTTTGGGACACCCATCATCAACCCCCCTCAGTCTGCAATCCTGGGCATGCATGCCATCTTTGACAGGCCAGTGGCCGTGGGTGGCAAGGTAAGCCCTATCCTTTTTATCTGTGAGGGGATGAAGAAGGAAATCTAATGCTGATTATATAACAGTCACTACAACTTAAGCCCCGAGTTCCACTTTTGAGGTTCTAATGAGTAGTTAAGGCACTAATTCTCAGATTGTAGTCTAGATCAGAAGCACCTGGGAACTTAGTAGAGATGCAGATTCTTTAAGTTTTTGCCGTAGGGTGTACACATTCAGTGGAGAGACAAAGAGACAGTGGGAAAGTGAGAATCACCCCTAAGGGGTAATAACCATGTGTAATCCCTTCTCCATTCTCCTTCTGGGGTTTGGGCACCCAAGCACATGCACCCAGTGTGACTTTCTTTCTAAGAATTATTTTATTTAACTATTTATTTATTCATTCATTCATTCATTCATTCATTCATTCAAAATTTGGCAAGAGAGAGAGGAGGAAGTGAGAAAGCAAGCCACCCGGTCTGGGACTTGAACCACAGTTGGCCATGTCAGAGTCCAGCACCTTTAACCACCATGCCACCTGCCAGCCCTTCCCCCCCCGGCATGGTTTTCAAGTTGCTGCATCCAGGACTCGAACCTTGTTCAGCCATGTGGGTGTCAGGTGCTGTAGCCACCACACTACCTACTGGCCCTGTGATGATGCTTAGATCCCATCTCAGAATACCAAATTTGTCGACCTCATACTGAGAGCTGAAGTATAGACAGTCCTGCTGCACACTTAAGTTAGGAAACTATCGGGCAGGGGCTTGCTCCCTCACTGGGGACCAGTCAACAAGCTTCCCTGTCCAGATGCCCTGGCAAGTAGGGGTATAGTTGGATACATGGTCCTCACCCCTGGGAAAAAGAGGACAATTGTGCACCGCAGCAGTCAGTGAGCTGTGGGAGTCCAGCACCCCAACCACCATACCACCTGCTGGCCCCACCATACCCCACACTCTTATTTTCACATCAAGCCTACATATTTTAGACCAAGCTCTGTGGCAGGCTGAGAATGTCTCTGGGAGTTCAGGGAATGAGGTCAGAGGGGCTTGAGCTAGCCCTTGGAAAGGGAGTTTCCTGGGACTCCCGTGTTTGGAACCTTTTTGGGGCCCCAGCAGATGGCATAGTGATTACATCACTAGACTGTCACATAGTGGACCACAGCAGCTTAAAAGTCATGCTGCGGACATGTGCGTGCATACCCAGAATCCCGAGGGGAGAAAAGGAGAAGGGATTGTGGCGTGGCCATTCCCCTGTGACAGTGATTTCTCACTTTCTGTGTCTCTGGCGAGCTCATGTGCCCGATAGCAAAACTCTCTATCCAAAAAAAAAAAAATCCTTTTTGAGTCACTAGCTACTTTGTGAATCCAAAAACATTGATCTCCCCGGAAAATGCCTATACTCCCAACTTTGCAGCCAATGTCAGAGAATTTGTGGGCTCCAGGTTAAATTTTTTTTTTTTCTTGAGAAGTTTTCACTATAGGGCGCGTGCGCTCGCCAGACAGACAGACAGACAAAAAGCGAGAAATCACCCCCTAGGGGGGATAGCCACGCTGCAATCCCTTCTCCATTCTTCTCTCAGGATCTTGGGCACGCATGCACACGCGCCCGGCATGAGTTTTAAGCCACCAGGTCTGGGATGCGAACCGCAGTCGACTACGTTGGCGTCCAGCGACATAGTCATTACGCTAACTGCTGTCCCTTTCTTTGTATTTTAACTCCAGAAAAGCATAACGGGCAGCCAGGACTGAAGGGAAACCTCCACAGGCAACATATGAGTCAAGAGCGCAGGGTATATTTTTAAAAAAAAGTATTTGTGAAGAGACTATTTTCTTGTTTTTATTTTTTAAATTTTCCTTTAGAGCTTATACACTTGTCAGGGAGTGACAGAGAGATAAGAAAAACAAAAAATCATCCCACAGAGAGGATGGCTATCCCTTCTCCATCCTCTTGGGATTTGGGGCACACACATGTACATGCCTGGTGCGTGTGTCTGTCTGTCTGTCTTTCTCTCTTTTTTTTTCTTTTTCTCTCTCTTTCTTTCTCTTTCTCTCTCTCTTTCTCTCTCTCTTTCTCTCTCTTTCTCTCTCTCTTTCTCTCTCTTTCTCTCTCTCTTTCTCTCTCTTTCTCTCTCTCTTTCTCTCTTTCTTTCTTTCTCTTTTTCTCTTTCTCTCTCTCTCTCTCTCCCTCCCTCCCTCCCTCTCTCCCTCCCTTCCTTCCTTCCTTCCTTCCTTCTTGCTTTCAAGCATTTGCACTTTCCAGAGAGAGAAAGAGAAAGGGAAAGTGGGAAATCGGGCCCCAGAGGGATGGCCACACCACAATCTCTTCACTTCCATTCTCCTCTTGGGATTTCGGGTATGCATGCACGTGCACCCGCCATGATTCTCAAGCTGCTGAGGCTGGGACTCAGGTGGTGGTCGGTCGTGTGGGAGTCCGGAGCCTTAACTGTCACGCCACCTGCTGCCCCACCCCTGGCGTGTTTCTCAAGCCACCAATGCTGCAACAAGCTGTGCAGTTAGCCATGTGGGATCCAGCCACTGTAACCACCACACCACCCCTGGCCCTGTTTTCTTGGTTTAACTGTTTTTAGGTGGGGAACTTAGCACTAGGGTAAGGCTTGAACTTTGGAAATAGTTACACGTGCAGAGGCAACATCAGTAGGAAAGGCCTCGAAACTAGGATCTCGCCTATAGGGAGTGCTCTCTCATCTCCCCCTGCATCTCAGCAGGGCTTTCTATGACCTGGAAACAAACCTGCCTGCTCTTCTCTAGGTGGAGGTGCGGCCCATGATGTACGTGGCACTGACCTACGATCACCGGCTGATTGACGGCAGAGAGGCTGTGACTTTCCTTCGTAAAATCAAGGCAGCAGTAGAGGATCCTAGAGTCCTCCTCCTGGACCTTTAGAGGGAAGCTACATGCCCTCCAAATCGACCATGCAGGAACTGAAAACCAGTCTTCTCCCTGTCCCCTTGGGGGTCCCAGGTTAGCCTGGTGACAGGCAGGCACATGATATTGGCCTCAAATAAGGAAGCCAGGGCACTTCGTTACCAGCAGTCGCAGGTCTCTTCTCGGTGTTCCTGCAGGGCTCTCTCCCTCTCTGCACCCTTCTCTTACCCTCAGATATCTTATTTCCTTAGGCTTGAGAGAGAGAGCGAGAGCGAGAGAGCCTTGATGGATGCTCATTAATGTCCCTGCCTTTTTTCCATTAGCCCTCTGCAGAGATGATCATGCTTCTCCCAGGGCCAGTGTGCTATAGGGAAACCACCCGGGACCACACAATTAAGTTTCAATCCTTGGAAAATCTGTTCTCTAGAGATGCCCAGGAGGTCTGTGTCTCCAGGCTCAGGGCAGCCTTCATCCCAGCTGTGCACCTCTCTCCACACCATCCACGTGGAGGTCTTGGACACAGGCGAAGAGGTGCTGCTTTGCTTCTTAAATGGCACCCTCATTCTCAGCTGTCATTGACTTCAAGATGCCTCTTCTACCTCTTCCAGGAAGCACAGGCCAGGGGATCTGGGTGGAAGGGTGTGGGGAGTGTGGGAGACGGCCCCTGTGGTCATGTGACGGAATCATAGGAGCAGAACCTGGGCCTGCCCTCACACTCTCCCTCAGGCTCACACCAAGGGGACCCGTTTTCGCACAATCTCACACCCTTTCCAAACCCTTTCCAGGCTGCTAGGAGCCATTCTAGCACGTCGTTTCCACGTAGAGCAGATTCTAGCACATCATGGCAGTGGGACAGAGCAGGTCACAGCAAAGGGCCAGACTGGAGAGGGGAGGCTTCCCTGAGCTGGCCCCAGTGGACCTGAGCTTTAACATTCAAGTTGGAATAAGCATGTGGCCCTTTCTGTGGGGAGTGGGCCTCGGGCTCTGGCTCCTCTGCAAGACACAGAGCTAGGGAGGATGCCCTGGGGTACAGCTCAGCCCCAAGGTGATGTCCTCTGGGTCTGGGAGTCTTCTGGAGCTCTTGTCATGAAAGCTGCTGGGCTTCATTTCGCTTTGTATCCAACTGCATCCAGGCTTGAGGCCACTGACACTTGACACCAGGGGCCTCAGTGCAGAGTGCCCTTTTGTACCTGGAGCCAAGAAACTAGGCCTGGGGTGGGTGGGGAGGGGGGGAGCCAATACTGAGTGCCTGCAGCAGGGGGGGGGGGGGGGGGAGCCAATACTGAGTGCCTGCAGCATCTACTACTCTGTCTTCACTATCCAGAACTTGTACCTAAATATTTAAAGAAACTGATTTTAAATTCAAATTAAAGGGCAGATGTTCGCAAACAGGGTTCCTGCATCTGTGCTCCTTTTGGCTCCTGTGGTTGTACAGATCTGGCACTGTTGTACAACTGGTTGTTAGCACTGAAAAGCCACTTAATGTCCCCTTAGTTTTCCTGCAAAGTTTATACTTTTTTTTTTTTTTTTTTTTAAGTTTGCTATTGGAAACATGAGCTTGCTGGAGACAGCGAGAGGGGAAGTGAAAAAGCACCCCTCAGGGCAGAGGCCACTCTGCAATCCCTTCTCCATTTTCTTTTCTGGATTTTGGGCATTTGCACATTTGCCCAGGTTTTCAAGTTGCGGGTCCAGGATTCAAACCACTCAGTTGGCCAGATGGGATCCAGCCACCTTAACCACCATGCCACCTGTTGGCCTCACTGTAGAGTACTTTTTTATTTAAAGAATTATTTTTATTTATTCATTTTAATTTGACCAGAGATGGACAGAGCAAGAGAGAGGAGGAGATGGAATGTGAGAAAAGCCACCAGGTCCAGGACTCCAACCACAGTCAGCCATGTGGGAGTCCAGCGCCCTTAACCACCTGCCAGCCCCTAATATTTCGGAAGTAAGTTAACACTACTGTTTTGACAAAAGGTGGACCATGAGCCAACAGATGGCATGTTGGTTAAGGCACTGTATTCCCACATGTTCATAGCCCGGACCTGGTGGTTTGAAAATCCCAACAAATCATATTTTTTAAGGATGGAACCCTGAATCGCCAGCCAGAAGTGTGCCCCAGGTTCCTTTCAGTGCATGCCTGTCAAGCCATCTTGAAGAGAAATTGTGGTCCCTACCTTGTGAAGCCCCTTCAGAACACCAGTGGGCATGTGCATCTTTGGGGGGGCTTGCATGTTTTCTCGATGCATCAGGGCTAGAGGGGGGCAGCATCATTTCACACGGACTAGAGGGTTGTGTGTCTGCCGAGGCACTCGGGGTCAGCGTGCACAATGAGGGTGGGTCACCTCAGGGTCAGTGGTCTGCCAGAAGTGCCCAGGGCTGCCTGCTAACCTAGGCTGCAGGTGACAGGCATGATGGCTGATGGTGCTTCAGTGAGACTACCCCCTGAAGGCTGTCATGGGAAGGCAGTGGGTACCGGAGGGTACAGTCAGAGCAAGGGTGGGCAAGAGAATGGGCTCAGTGGAAGGGAAGGCTTCAGTGTCATCAGTCGGGTCAGGTCGCGGTGTTAGACGCTTTACTTTCTCTAGTAAACCTGGTCACCAGGCCCATTTTGTGGGAAGCTGAGTAAGCCCCGTGGGGGTGGGGTGGGGGTGGGGCACATCCTAGACCCAGGCCAGGCAGAGGGTGGAGGTGGTCCAGGTCCAGCCTTAGGGCAGCAGGAAGTGCACAGCCTGGGACAGCTCCACTAGGCTCTGCCCAGTCACATCATGTGTTTTCAGCTGTAAGTTTTCTCAGGACCTTCCGACTGTTTCAAGGGCTCACTCACCGAACAGTAAACCATTCCCCAGGCCCCCTGGCCTTGCAGGACTTGTCTTCCTGTTTTATCTCCCACAGAGCTCTGTCCCCACACACCAGTGCCTGCCCTCAGGCCCGCGGCTGCCCCTTCCTGCTGCAGGGGCACAGGCTGGCATGCCACTCACCACCGACCCTGTCCTACTCCTGGCAGGCCCCAAGCCCCGGCCACTATTGCGGCATTTCTCTGGGGGTGTCTTCCATCCGCCCTCCCGGCAAGCCGCGCTCGATGCAATGAAGCATGGACGCCATAGTGAGGGCAGGCTTTATTAGGCCGTGGCCATGGGGAGTCATACACAGGCAGTGCTTTCCCATGTCCTCTCTGTCCCGGTCACCCAGTCCCCAGGGATGAGCGAGCCTTCAAGGCCAGACTGGCCAGCAGTGTCAGAGGCGCCCCCTGGTGGTGGTGGAGACGCTGGAGAGAACTGGCTGGGGCTGAGGTCAGGTGGGTGTCTCGGGAGCCACCCCAGGGAGTTGAGAGGTGCCCCCAAGCCTAGGATGGGCAGGTTTCTTTGGGATAATCGTTTTCTCCAGTTCTTCAGAGACCAGAAATATCTTGCTTCTTGGCTAAAAGCATGGGTAATTGCTCCATGTGTTTTGTGGTTTCTCGTTCCAAGAGGGGATGCAGTCACAGTGGGCAGGACTGACGGGAACCTCAGGACCCAATGTGAATGGTGAACCGACCAGTGTCTGAGAAGCGCGTCCCACTGGGTGTCACCCTGGAGGCTGGATTCTCCCAGGCTCCCCTCTCCATGCACGGCCACTCTATTGTTTACAAACTTGTTCCAAGTGGCAGCACAGTGTGCTCCTCTCGACTCCCCACCCCCTCCCTGCCTCTCCCCTCCCTCATAGCCCCTCCCCCCTCCCCCCTTCCCTCTTGTCTTCCAAAGTCTGAATCACAGCCTGGGTCATGATCAGCAGTGGGATGGGCCATCTGCTCCCCTTCTCGCCACAGACTTTACCGCTCCCCACCTCCCCGTGCCCTGCGGGGACAGGCGGTGGAAGGAGGCCCACAGCTTGCCTAAGATGACTGGCTAGGACAGTCTGGGTTGAGTCTATTGAGCCAGTGGGCCAGTGTCCTGAGATGCTTCTCCAGAAACGTCCCGAGTGGGGCACAACACGGCAGTGAGTCCCAAAAGCCTGCGGTCGGCTCAGCAGGTGTCTTGATGCAAGCCTCTCGGCAGGTGAGACTGCCCTTTCCCTCAGCTTCTCTGGGAGCTGGCCCTTGCTGGGCAGTGGCGGTTATTACTTCCGAGGCCCAAGGTGGAGCCGAGTGGGAAAGGCCATGCCCTAACCTCTTCACACAAGCCCACTGACAGAGGAGCCCATCTGGGGTGGTAGGTGGGGAGGAGAGATCCAGGCCAGGCCAGCTGCTTCCCTTGCCCGCTCTGCCCCTCTTACCCCGCCAGCTTGCTCCACTGGATGGTGCTGAAAAAGGGGTGGGACTTGAGTTTGCTGACACCGTCTCCTCCAGTGCCCAAGCGCCTGGCAGGATCAAACTGTAGCAGCTGTAGGAAAAGGCCCCGTCAGCGTATGGCTGAGCCTTCCCCACCCCACTGCTGAGGCAGGGCTGACCTCCAGGGTCTCCAGACACCATAGCTCCTGGGGGATCTGCTCCCTCAACCCAGGCCACAGGACCCCAGTTTTACCCCGAGGTACATTGGTGTTTTGTCACCAGTGTACAGAAGTGTGCTGTCCGTATGGCCCTCTTGCACCCACATCAGAAAGGTTCATGCACACAGGTCTGCACTTAGGCCAGGAAGTCCCCTCCTGTAGGCCAGGCTGCACCTCACCTCAGTCAGCAGGGAGGCTGCTGGGCGACTGAGCCACTCGGGCAGCTGCAGTTGGGTGTGAGCCTGGATTCCTGAGGGGTGGCTCTTGGACAGTGCCTGGGAGAACACAGGGACGGGCCTTTGAGGAGGCCCTAGGAAAGGGTACAGCCAGGGGCAGCCAGGATCCCCCCACCTCGCGTGTCAATGCCCTGGGGAGGCTGATGACAGCTGCCTTTTGCTCTGATCTGCTAGTTGCCAGATGCTGCTCCTCTGCTGAAGATAAGAAGCAGACCCAGGCAGGTGAAGGGACTGTGCTGGGTTCTGGGTTTGAAGCCAAGTCCTGGCTACAGGCTTGTTAGAAGCATTGGTTCTGGGTTGCAATCAGGGTGGACGCTTGGCGCCGGCACTGGGACTTGTCTCCTTACATAAGGGAACCTCCACAGGCCACTTGTTTGACACCAGGCCATGGCATGCTTCCATCAGGGCCCCCTGACACCCCTGAGGGTGCAGCTTTGGACAGCGTCTGCTGGAGGTAAGGTGGGATGCGAGCCAGGAGCCCTTGGCGAGAGCTGGTAGAAACTGGGTGGGAAGAGTCGCTCTGAGGGGACTTTGCAGCCAGGGCTCGCAGAGGCCCGGGGCTATGGGAGGACAAGCAGGAGGAAGCCAGGATGGACCGGTCTGATCTGGATTCAGGTCATGCTGCATCCATCCCAGCTGTTTCTTGCTCAAATGTAGCTTGGCTTCTCCTTGGCTGTCTAAGCTAAGTGTCCCAGCTGTGGCGCCAAAGCTGGGCGAAAGACGGGGGCAGGGCCAGCATCCATCCAAGGGTGTTAGCAGGGGAACCTGAGCCTTCGCTTACCCAGCTCGACAGGGCACTGTGGGCCTGGATGGAAGAGCCCTCCTGCCGACCAGCTAGTCTGGGGGTACCCCGAAGGGCATGGGCGTAGTGAGCAGAGGGTTGAGGGGTTGGCGGATGATCTAGCAGCCTTCCAGGGAAGAAGGGCTGTCACTTCTACCTCCCTCCAGACCTAGGCCCAGGCTCCCTTCTCCAGAACCTCCCCTGACCATCCCAGTTCAGCTGTCATTTGTACAAGCGTGAGACAGGCCGAATGGACCAAGCTCCGTCCACCTCATACTGCCCCACCCCCACCCCTCGCCACCAGGGCCCTACACCCTGCCCACTACTCACCGTTCCAGTCAGCAGCTCGTACAGCAGAGACCCAAAGCTCCACCAGTCACAGGCCTCAGTCAGCTCAGAAATCCCACCCACCTCTGCGGGAGCAAGACACAGATGCCAGCCTCACCCAGGGCCCTCTCCACACCACCCTTCCCCTGTCACCGTCAGCCCCCAGGCCCAGCCCACACAAAGGCACCCGAGATGGAGCGGCCTGGCCCTTCCCCTTGCCTGGGGCACTGTACATGTTGTCGGCTGCCTCCCTGCAGCACTGGGGCTCCACTTCTGACCACTGACCAAAATACGTGAGCCGGATATGACCTACTTGTCCAGGGAGAAAGGAGGGACAAAGATTGAGGGCAGCCATCACTGAGCACTGGCATGGAGGGGGTCCCAAGGTGTCCCCCAACAGCCACACAACAGGAGCCAAAGGCTGTGCTGGCAGCGTCTCCCCACAGGCATGGCCCCGCGAGGCCCGGAGCACAGGGGTTGTTCCTAGGAACCGCTGCCCTGGATTCATGCGGGAACACAGAAGGTAACCCCTGAGAGCCTGGATCTGGGGGAACCTCTCATTCTGTGTCTGGGGGCCTCCCACCTGAGGGGTGGGCCACCTACCTGCCTGGTCCAGGAGCAGGTTCCGGGGGTTGAGGTCCCGGCACAGCACCCCCTGCTGGTGTAGCGCCTCCAGTGCCACCAACGTCTCGGCCGCCCACTGCTTCACCTGCTCCTCCCCCACGCGCCAGGCGGCCTCGCCACGTCCGGGGCTGGCCCTGTCTGCCCAGGGGCGGCTCTGACCCCTGCCTCGGCCACAGCCTCCCAGCACCCGGCCAGCTCCCTCACGGACCCAGGAGAGTCCCCAGGGGGACCCGGAGTCCGAGCTCTGGCCAGCCCGCCGGGCTTGAGGGTGGAGGCGGCCACGTGGAGCCTTTGGAAGGTCCGAGGAGCAGTTGGTGCCGGCCCTGGCCGTGGACTCCCCTTCATCCTCTCTCTGGGGTCTGATGGACCGGGCTGCCCTGGCTGGGGGAAGGGTCTGAGAAGGCCGAGGAGGCTCCGGCTGGATTCCGTCCTGCCTGGGTGTGCGGCCTGCGGGGAGCCGCGCCGGGGTCTGGAGGCCGCCGTGGGAGTTGAGCTGAGCCTTCGTCCTCTCCTGGGTGGAGCCAGCCAGGTGCGCCTGGGAGCGCAGGTGGGACCACAGCGTGCCGCCTGGCCGTGCGGACGGAGCGGTGAGGGAAGAAGGCATGGGTGCCAGGTCCCCGTCCCTCCCGCGCTGTCTTGGGCATGGACCCTAAGTCTTCCAGGGGTCCCAGCCCACTCAGCATCCTCTCCTCGGCTCTCTCCCACCTCTCAGGATGCCCCCGCCCCTCTTCACAACTTGGCACCCCACGGGCTCAGCCCCACGTGGATGTACCGTTAATACAGGGCCCAGTCCCGCCCTGCAGCTTCCGTCACACCAGGCCCTGGGGCCACTCCAAGGGCTGGGTACAGAGCCACGATGGGAGGAGACGGTGACAGAAGACGGCTGCATACATGTCCTCATGCCTACGCAGGGTGTCAAATATGCCCCAGAATGTCCCCCTCTCCTGCTGCCCCACACCCCTGTGGGACAGACATGTCACGGTGCGACACACCACGATAGCCTGGCCCTGCCATCCGCAGAAAGGCTTGGCTCCTGGCCTGTGTTGTGAATCTGGTTGAAGCCGCATGTCCCCCCAGGGCTCAGCACGGCAAAGGGTGGGTGAGGGCAGTGGCCCCTAGTGCCCCTCACCTGGCACGTGCTCCAGGTGCAGGAAGATGGAGTCCTCACTCACAAAGTACCGCAGCAGCTTCGTCATGTAGGGGACTCCATGTGGGATGACGGTCAGCCGCTCCCGGCTCACCACGTGGCACCTGGGCAGGCTCTGGGGCCGGCGGGACAGACCAGCTGGAGACAGGCCAGCTTTAGGGGACACCCTGGCCCTGACTTCAGGGATGGCTGCTCTCCCAGTTTCTGGCCTGGCTCCCTATTTTCCCCGTGGAACCCTGGTCCTCCAGCCTCCGCCTTCCCGGCCAAGGCTAAAGCAACGACTATCTGGGAGGAAGGGGACATGCTTGAGGCAGAACAGGCAGCTTGGGGATTTGGCAAGAGCGCAAACTTCATAGGCAGGGTCCGGCCAGGGGGAACCACAGAGGGTAGGGGTTTCAGGAGCTCTGGCAAAGTCCCAAGGGGAATACAGACTGGCAGGAGTCTGGGTGGCACCTGCCTTCACCACGAAGGTCCCTCCGGTTGCTGGGTCCTGGACCAACTGCACCTGCCAGAGTCCAGGAGTCACTGGTCAAGACTTGCCCGTTCCTGGGCTCCGTGGCCCCAGTCCTACTCCTGATCCAGGTTCATCCATGGAGGCTGATTCACTCCAGGGTCAGAGCAGAGGGGGCAGGCTTTGGTAATACAGTGTGCCCTCCTCCCCCAGGCTGACATTTGTCCTGCCCTGCTTGACCACACTTGCTAGACAGCATGTCTCAGTGCCACCACCTCCAGGAAGCCCTCCCAAGCCGAAAGGCAGGGTTCCTAATCTGTCTGCAGTGCTCCCTGGACTCACTCTCAGGGAGCCTTGTCACACTGTTTAACTTCTTTTCCCCACTGGACTGTGAGCTCCACAAGGGCCGGGACCACACTGTCCAGATGGTATTCCCGGTCTGCACGGCACAGGGCTATGGTAGCTGCTTGATGGAGGTGGTGAGTGGCCCAGCACCTCAGCTGCTGGAATGAGGGGCTTGAGGCTCCTGCCACATGCAGAAATAAGCCCCTCCCGCTCCCTGTCCCTGCTGGGCCCAGCCCCATGTGGCCGGAGGGGAGGGTAGAGGAAGCCCTCTTTCACCTGGACCCTTTACCTGAGTCTAGCGTTCCACCATCCTGCAGGGTCTGAAAGTGTCTCAACTAAAAGGGACCTCAGAGCCAGCCACTCTGTTCTCCTCAGGGACCAGAGGCTCAGCATGGCTCCGGGTCACCATGAGCGGAGCCATGTGGGTCTTCAGGTCTCTTCCTGAGCCCTCCCACTTCCCTTTAAATTGAAGTCGCTCTCTCTGGAGAACAGGCCTCTGCTGTGTGGTTGGCTGAGAGGCAGCCTTGTCTGGAGCCACGCCCTTGATCCACCTCTGGTGGTGGTGGGGCTCCACTAGAGGGGAAGGCATGTGAGCGCGGGGCAGGGAACCAGAGGGTGCAGCCCAGGTGGAGGGCACGTGGGTTCAGGCCAGCACCCTGGTACTGTGACTCCATAGCCCTTGGCCTTCCCCGCGGACACTCTCCAGGTAGTGGAGGTGGGTGCCAGGGTGCGGCCAGGCCACTGAGCAGTGATGAAGGCTGCAGCCTGGGATCAGGGTAAGGAAAGGGCCCTGGGTTTGTTTACTCATTTTATTTGCCACAGGACAAGTGCTCCCACCAGAGAGAGAGAGAGAGAGAGGGAAAGTGACAGAGCGCCCCCCACACGGGGGACGGCCATGCCACAATCCCTTCTTCAGTCTCTTCTTGGGATTTTGGGCATGTATGCACAGGCATTTGGTGTGATTTTCAAGCCTCTGGGTCCTGGACTCAGCCACAGAGCTGGCCATGTGGGGTCCAGCAGCCTTCACCGGCATTCGGTGTGATTTTCTAGCCTCTGGGTCCCGGACTCAGCCACACAGCTGGCCATGTGGGGTCCAGCAGCCTTCACCACCACACCACAGGCTGGCCCCAGGGCACTGGGTTGAGATCTTGGGCAAGTGAATTGGTTTTCTCACCTACCAAGCAGGAATTACGAATACTACACCGCCATAAGCAGGAAAGCTGTGAGCATAAAGGCAGTGAGAACGTCAGTTACCACATCTGCCAAGTCCCACCGCCTCTCTGAGCCTGGCTCTCCTTCCCTGAGAAGCAGGGTCATTGCAGAACCTTCCCAGGGGGTCATTAGGAGGAGAGACAGGTCAAGTACAGCAGCAGCCTGAGCCCCCCAGAGCACACAGGGTGACTGTCGTCAGTATTGTCCTTGAGGAAATCCACACGGGCATAAAGCACTTACTGTGTGGTAAGCACCTCACACAAGTGATTTAATTCCATCCTGCAACTCTGCCAGGGTGATTAGTGGCCCATTTTATTGAGGTTCAGAGAGGTTATGTTGCCTGTGGTCTCACTGCTAAAAAGTGATCGAGCCAGGACCTGAATCCATGCGGGCTGACCCTGGAGCCTCGAATACTTAACTACCACTGGGGCACAACCAGGTGAGTGCCCAGGACAAGCGTCTGCCCTTCTGGGCCCCAGTCTCCATCCTCAGTAGAATGAAGGCAGGGGGCTGGGTGAATGCCTGGGCCTTCCTGCGGTGTAGGATCCTTGCTGACCACCAGAGGTCTCTCCTCCAATGGCCAAAGACCAAGCCAAGACTGGCTTCGGTTCTCAAACTTGTGCAATGTTTGAAAAGGAAAGAGAGAAAACTCTGGGGTCATTTAGGAGAAAACAGTTTCCCACAAATACTGACACCCAAATAATTCCCCACTGTCCCTTGCCAAGTGGGATTCCCCACGACCTCGTCTTGGGCAAAGCTCCTTAATTTAGAGTCCAAAAAAACTAGGAGTGAAGTTGGGGAATCCAAAACACTTGATCCCCAAATTGAAACAACTGTGTTTTTAAAAATGTGTTGAAACCTATTTTTTTTCATTGCCAAAGGATGCATGTGCACACCAGAGAAGAAAGAGAGACAGAGACACAGAGAGAGGGAGAAAGCTCCACCCCTAATGGGGTGCAGTCTTGCTGCAATCCCTTCTCCTCCATCCAGTCAGGATTTGGGGCATGCAAGCACATATGCCCTGTGTGTGTCTCAAGCCACTGGGGCCAGGACTTGAACCATGGTTGGCCATGTGCGATCCGGCTCCTATAACACTAAGCTACAGAGCCAGCCCAAACCTACGCACTTATTTAGAAAAAATTCAGCCAAAACGTTAACAGTGACTGGAGTTAGGCAGGGGCATCACTTTTGGTTTCTTGTTTATTTTTTCTGTTTTAAACTCCTGTCTCCCTCTATTACATTTTAAAAGGGCAGCAGGGGGGGGGCAGTTCTCACCCAATGTAACTAAACAAAAAATACCCCTTTTTTCGCTCGGTATTTTGAAGGGACATAGCACTATCTAGTCGCTTGACCTCTATGAACCTAAGTTTCATTCTCTGTAAGAAAATCATTAAAATGCAGCACATTCCAGGGCTGAGCAGATGGTTTGCTATTTAAGGTGCTGGACTCCCACATGGCTGACCATGGTTCAAGTCCCGGACTTGGCAGCTTGAAATTCACGCTAGGAATGTGCATGCACATGCCTAATATCCCCAGAGGAGAATGGAGAAGGGACTGTGGTGTGGCCATCCCCCGGGGTGGGGGGTAACTTCTCCCTTCCCCTCTTACTGTCTCTTTCTCTCTGGTGAGCACATGTGCTCCATGGCAAAAACTTTTTTTAAAAAAATGCAGCACTTTCAGTAGAATTCTCTGCCAAGATGGTAATGTCACGTACCTGGACTGTCAACATGGAACCTTCACACGTGTGGCTGACTGAGCCCCTGAAATGTGGCTAATGCAGCTGAGACAGATGGCTTCATTTCAATGAACGCTGATGTAGATAACCTCCTGTGATTAGCTGTCCTGGACTAGCTAGCTGTGACTGGACTGTCCTTTCTGCCCCAGGTGACCATGAGGATGGAATGCCACAGCTCCGTAAATGAGAGCATGCTGACAAATGGAGGTAAACCTTCCTATTAAGAAGCTGGGGGGCCAGCAGTTGGCCTAATGGCTATGTTGCTGGAATCCATGTAGTCGACCCCAGTTTGAGTCCCAGACCTGGTGGCTTAAATTTATGCCAGGCACGTGTGCGTGGGTGTTCAAGATCCTGAGAGGAAAAGGGAGGAGAAGGGATTGTGGTGTGGCCATCCCCCCCCGGGAGGTGATTTCTTGCTTTCTGTCTCTCTGTCTCTATCTCTCTTTCTGGCAAGCGCACACGCCCTATAGCTAAAACCCCTCCAAAAAGAAGAAGAAGAAGAAGAAGCTGGAAGACTAGTCTGCATGCCTGCTCTCTTACTCCTTTATAAAGAGCAAACGTAGGGGATAGCAGGTGGCACAGTGGTTGGGCGCTGGACTCCCATGTGGCCGACCACGGTTTGGGTCCTCAATCCAGTGGCTTGAAACTCATGCTGGGTACAGGTGCATGTGTGCCCAGAATCCTGAGAGAATGGAGGAGAAGGGATCGTGCGTGGCATGGCCATCCTCCCTAGGAGATGATTTCTTGCTTTCTGTTTTCTGGTGAGCACAAATGCCCTATAGCAAAAATACTCTCTAAATACATAAACACATATATACACACTCCACAAATACCTGGTGATGTGTGTGTGTGTGTGTGTGTGTGTGTGTGTGTGTGTGTAAATAAGGCAGTCATGGACTGACACCGGAATGCAGTAGGTTAAGCCAAGTACATGGGGAGCTGAATCCCTATGGCATACTGAAGTTTGAGTCCTAGCTCCAACACCTTGAAAAACACACCAAAATCCTGATGTATTTGTTCAAAATCCTGATGGAAAGGAGAAATGGAGAGAAAAGGACTGAAGCATGACTGCGCCCCACTGAGGGTTGCTTTCTCTCTCTTGTAAGTGCACATTGCTTCTGACAATTAAAAAAAAAAAAAAAAGGCTAGGGACCAGCAGTTAGCATAATGGCTGTGTCTCTGGACTCCCACGTAGTCAACCGCGGTTCACATCCCGGACCCGGTGGCTTAAAACTCACTTCGGGTACGTGTGCGTGCATGCCCAAGATCCCGAGAGGAGAATGGAGGAGAAGGGATTGTGGCGTGGCCATCCCCGCTGGGGGGTGATTTCTCGCTTTCTCTCTCTCTCTGTCTGTCTGTCAGGCAAGCGCACACGCTCTGTAGCAAAAACCTCTCCAAAAAAAAAAAAAACGCTAACGAGGCGGCATGGTGGTTAAGGTGTTGGGCTCCCACAAGGTCAATTACGGTTCAAGCCCAGGACCTGGCGGCTTGAAAATCACACACCAGTGCATATGCGTGAATGCCCCAAATCCCAAGAGAATGGAGAAGGGATTGTGTGGTCATCCCCTCTGGAGGGTGATTTCTCACTTTTCTTCTCTCTGTCTCTTTGTCCCTCTCTGGTGAGCACATGTGCCCTATGGTAAAAACCTGACCAAAAGGGACCAGCAGTTGGTGTAATGGCTATGTCGCTGGACTCCCATGTAGTTGACCACAGTTCGAGTCCTGGACCTGGTGGCTTAAAACTCACACTGGGTGTGTGTGCACAAGATCCTGAGAGGAGAATGGAGGAGAAGGGATTGTGGCGTGGCCACCCTCCTGGGGGGATGATTTCTTGCTTTCTGTCTCTCTGTCTGTCTCTGTCTTTCTGGTGAGCGCATGTGCCCTGTAGAAAAAAAACTCTCAAAAAAAAAAAAACAAAAACAAAAAACCTGATCAAAAAAAAAAAAGTCTAAAAATGGCAATCTTTTTTCAAAAATAAACCCACTTTGTTTCTGGGACACAGGGTCAATTAAAGCTTTGGTGAAACACCAAAGTAAATCATTTTTAAAAAGATGCCCAAAGTACCAAAATCCCAGGGGAACACTCTCATGGAACAAACAAATCTAAAAGCTTAAAAAAGATTCTCTAACTCAGAGCCCCACGTGGGCTGGAGCGTGAGCCAAGTGGGGAGGTGGGAACAGGTGCAAGTGCGGGGCTGCGCTCCACCTAACCTGAGTGGTCTCCTCTCTGCTCCCTGCTGCCGTGGGGAAGCATGAGCCAGCACTTTTCTTTGTAAAGAATTACTTATTTTATTTATTATTATTATTTTTTTAAATTTGAACATAGAGAAAGGGAAAGTAAGAAAGCAAGCCACCAGTGCCAGGACTTGAACCATGATTACCCACGTGGTACCTTAACCACCACACCACCTGCTGGCCCCAAGCCCAGCACCTTCAGATCATCTTTTTTTTTTTTTTTTTTTAATTTGTCACAGGGCATGCATACTTATCAGAGAGAGGGAAAGTGAGAAAGCACCCCCCAAGGGGGTGGTCATGCCATAATTCCTTCTCCCCTACCCTTCTCTCAGGATTTTGGGTGCACATGCACCCAGCATGTTTTTCAAGCCACTGGGTCCAGGACTTGAACCGTGAACTGCAGAATTGACCATGTGTGTTATGGCTGCCTTAATCACCATGCCACTGGCTGGCTGATCTTCTGGTGTGCAGGAAATCTAGACTTCTATATGAAATATCCAAATTTTACAACGTTAGTAAGAATTAAAAACAAAACAAAACAAAAGCCCTGTTTTTGAGCCAAATAAAATGAAATGGGTCTTGGATGCCCTTTTCCTCCCTTCCCGAACTCAGAGTCTGGATCCTGAATGAGGCCCCACAAATACCTGGTGACATCTCCCTGGCACCTCAGGCTCCCCGAGAACTGAACCCTGGGTATTCTGGCTTCCTACCCCTCCTGGACCACCCATCTCCCTGCTCCCTGCCCGCCCCACCCCTGCCTCTATCTCTTTGGCTCCTAGCAACCCCCTCCCCAGCCGTTACCCACAGTGGACACTTCAGCGGGCACACACGGAGAAGGCCTTTGCTCTGTCTCTGGCCCGAGGGCTGCTGTTGGCTGGCACTGCCCTCTTGCCCAGATCTGCCTGGGCAGAGCCGTGGAATGGAGAGGGGCTGACAACATACATAGCCAGGCTGGCAGCAGGGCCTGGGCCCACAGCCCTAACAACTTTCCTAATTTGGGAAAAGCACTATTCCTGGCTTGGGCATCACACCGGAAAAGGAAACAGGACCGCAGAGAAGTTCTGTAGATCAATTAAGTGCCCACGAAAGGGGAAGAGGGAGAGAAAGGCAATCTCAAGACAGAATGGTTAGACTCAGCCATCATTTTTGCTTTCTATCTACACAGATTTCAGAATACCAGATTTTTAATTTTTTTAGAGGTTTTTGCCTTAGGGTGCATGCGCTCACCAGAGAGACAGAGACAGAAAGACAGTGAGAGGGAAGGTGAGAAATCACGCTCCAGGGAGGAAAGCCACGCAGCAGTCCCTTCTCCTCCATTCTCCTCCTGGGATCTTGGGCACGCCCGCACATGCACCTGGTATAAGCTTCAAGACACTGGGTCCAGGACTCAATCCACAGTCAGCCACGTGGAAGTCCAGCAATGTAACTGCTATGCCACCTGCTGGTCCCCAGAACACCAGGATCTTAGAACACTTTGCAAATGTCCTGAGATTAGACAAATTTGGGAACTCTTGTGCCACAGACCTCCCTCTGAGAGACGTCTGGTATACATTTGCATCTTGCAAGCTCTTAAAACTTCTGTAATTAAAAAAGCAAGCAACGTCTGCCCATGGCCTAGTGGTTAGGGGAACTGGATCCCGCATGGCTGACTGTGGTTCAAATCCTAGCCCTGGGCAATGTGGCTTTAAAAACATGCCAGATACATGTGTGCGCATGCCCGGAATCCCAACAGGACAGAGAGACAGAGAAGGGGGATTGTAGCAGGACCACACCCAACTGAGGGGTACTTTCTCCCTTTCTGTTCTCTCTCTCTGGTGAGGACACAGCTCTCTGGCAAAAAAAAAAAAAAAAAAAAAAAAAGTAATTTAAGTTTAGCTCCCAGCTTTCCAAATCTACTCACCCGGGAGCCCTCTCACCAGAACACCTTGGTTCTGCGGATCACTCAGAGAAATGGTGTTTGCCACTGCACTGTCTGGGAGAGGCTGAGCTCGGCCAACCTTAGGCTGCGCCCACTAAGACTGGTGCGGGGTGGGGCTGGCACAGGTGGACGCTGGGCCTCCGCCGACTGTCCGGGGCCTGTTCCAGGGCCCAGGGGTGGGCGCCTGCACACTTTCTCACTCACTCCTATCACTTGACGTTCAAGCCATCAAATACATACTAAATATCTCGGTGTGTGCCAGGTCTTCCCTAAACACGATCCATCTGACTTCCCAGATCACACCACGGTGCAGGAGGGTTCTAACCTCACTTTACACATGAGGAAACCGAAGCTCAGAGAGGCGAAGGGATTGCCCGTGGCCCTCCTCTGCATCGCCCGGGCAGGGCCTGTCCCCAGCAGCACGTCATCCTCTCGCACACGGAAGCACATGCTGGTCTGCTTTTCTCTATGGCGCCTCAGATCAGACAAAATCATCGGATGAATATTTTCAATTACAGATTCCTGGGCTCATCCCTAGAAATTCTCACTCTAGGGCAGGCCTCATGGCCTAGTGGTTAAGGATGGTGGATCCCACATGGCTGACCACACTGAGTTCCAGCCCAGCAGGAGGAGAAACAATGGAGCATGCTTTCTCCCTCTCTATCTGGCAAGTGCATGTGTTTTCTGGCATTTTTTTTTTAAGTTTCCTATAGGACATATCTGCTCACTGGAGAGAGAGAGGGAGAGAGAGAGAAAAGGTGATAAAGCATCCCCAGGGACAATGGCCATGCCAGTCCCTTCTCCTCCACACTCCTCTCAGGATTTTGGGCATACACACACACACAACATATACACACACATGCCCGGCATATATATATATATATTTTTTTTTTGAGAGGTTTTTGCTGTAGGGCGCATGCACTCGCCAGAAAGACAGAGAGAGACAGAGAGACAGAAAGTCACAGAGACAGAAAGACAGAAAATCACCCCCCCAATGGCCACGCCGCAATCCATTCTCCTCCATTTTCCCCTTGGGATCTTGGGTGTGCCCGCATACATGCCCAGCGTGAGTTTAAGCCACCGGGTCCAGGACGCGAACCGCAGTCAACTACATGGGAGTCCAGCGGCATAGCCATTACGCTAACTGCTGGTCCCACCAGGCTTATTTTTTAAGCCACCAGGTCTCAGACTTGAATTGTGCAATCACGTGGGATCCAGTTGCCTTGACCACCATGCCACCAGGCTGGCCCAGCCCTCTGGCAAATCTTTTTTAAAAAAGAAATTCTGACTCCACAGGCCTGGGGTGGGGCCCAGGCACCTGTGTTTTCAGGAAGCTCCAAGGTGATCCTGATAAAGACCCAGTTTGAGTATCCCGGGGTTGGGCAGAAGGGAACCAAATACCGGCCCACCTCTCCTTTGACCTGTTTGTCCTGAACCCAGTACTCTCATGGCGACTAATCCCAGGTAAGGGTGGGGATGTCATCGCTCACTGTCCTGTCTGCCCCAAGTTGAGGAGATGGGTGCACGGCAGGATCAAGATGAAAGGGCAGTGGCCAAGGCCCCGGACAACGCTCGGGCCAGCCTGGGCCTCTGCTGGACAGGTTTTGGGAGATGAACACATTCCAGCCATAGGAAGTTCTTTGCTGGGCTTGGTGTGGACAGACTCTTGGCTGTGGTCCTGGGGTACACAGTGAGTGTGGGTGGGAGCCTGTGAGAAGCGGGAAGTGGGAGTGAGCGGGGCAGGGCATGCTGGCAGGGGGCCCTGGGCACAGTTCTCCTGTGATCTGTCTCCACTCTCCACTCTCCCAGGGAGCAAGTTTTCTGTCTGAGCTGGAGGGCAGATGGGAGGGGCCACGCCGGCTGCTTCTCCTCCTTCTTCCCATGTTTCCTAGTCCAGGACACGACTGGTGATGTCAGGGGTGGGGGCTGGGACCCCTGGGCATAACTGCTCTCCCCTTTGACCCTTGGCCACCCCCTGACCCTGGACAGGTGGACAGCAGCTCCAGACTCATCCCTATCACATCACATGTCCCCCACCCGCATCGTGAGCCCCCCACCCCTATCACATGGTGGGCATCCACTCACTCACCTTCTCGATGACCCCTACCACCCTGCAGCCCCTCAGCTGCTCCAGGGCAGAGCTCAGTGTGCGGATGGGCCGGAGCCTCAGGCTGCTAAAGCCCTGCAGAATGGGGAGACAGGTCACATGCAGCCTCAGGGCTGAGCCCTCCTCAGCCATGGCCTCCTCACCAGGCAGGGGCCTGGGCTTCCAGCTGCCAGGACAGCAGCGGGAGCCATAGCAGGCAGGGCTGAGGGGGGCAGCAGACCCTGCCTCTCAGGGCCGGGCTGAGTGGAGAAGAAGCCAGCCTCAATAGGGCAGAGGCCACACTGGTCCACAGTGGCCAGGCCAACCCCCTCACTCAGGCCACATCCAGCCCTCCTAGGCCTAGGCAGCTCCCAAAGCCCTACCACCACCAGCAGCAGCAGCCCCATCCACAGGAGGCAGATGCTCCAGGGTGGGGCTGGGGAATAACCACACCTCCAAGGCCAAGGCGTGTGGGCCAGGCACCTGCTTTGGGGAAAGGCAGCCTGACAAGATGGGGAGCCTAGGAGGCCGTGTGCATGTCTGTGCATGCCTGGGATGAGAAGCCACCACCCGTCCCCCACTTGGGTTGGGGAGAGCCATATGGCGAGTCTGTGTGCATGATGTAGACACGAGCATTCACATATGTAGGTGAGCTCCAAATACTCACTGCATGCCCATGCACGACAGACACGACATCAGGTTAGTGTGTGCACACGTAAGCGTATGTGTGGAGCCATGTGCGAGCTGGGCGGACGTAGACATACGTCCATGCCGAGTACTCTCTGAGGGCGTGACTGGACTGGATGATTGGCTGAGCATGACTGAAAATGAACGGACGGTGGAGGGAATGGGAGACAGAGGCAGCTGGAGGCCAGACTGGGCCAGCGTAGGGCATTTTGAGATGTCAGAGCGCTAATGTGAATGCTTCGCCCTCTGCAACCTGCCCTTCTCCTGTAGGCAGGATGGGCCCGTGGTGCGGGGAACTCTGCTCTGCCCTCAGATCCCTCCTCCTGCTCAGGTCTTTGGGGAGGGGTCCCTCACCATGCTAGAGCTGGCTCCGCTGCCCAGTGTCCTCTGCAGGTGGCAGTTGAAGATCTCCTCGGCTCGCCGCAGGTACTTGGTAATTTTCAGCTTGACGGCCTCGCGCCGCTCCTTGTTGGGGTCGACTGTGTGGGACAAGGGTCACTCTTGGAGGGCTTGGCCTTAGAAGCCTGGGGTCCTTGCTCCCACTGTCCTTCTCTGCCCTCCACAGCAGAGTGCTCCTATTACTAAGGCTGGCCCAGATTCTGAGCCCATCAGGGGAGGAGGAGGGAGGACCAGAGCAGGAGGAGGCCGGGAACCACGGTCCCCCTGAAGCCAACAGCACTTCACAGCTGGCACCCACCCACTTGCTGGCTGCCATCACACCCTGGGAAGGGACAAGGTGGGGATTTCCATATTCCTTGTTTCAGAGAAGACAGAAGCTTTGGGAACCAGCAGTTAGCGTAATGGCTATGTCGCTGGAATCCCATGTAGTCGACCGCAGTTCGCATCCCGGACCCGGTGGCTTAAAACTCACACTGGGCGCGTGTGCATGCGTGCCCAAGATCCCAAGAGGAGAATGGAGGAAAAGGGATTGTGGCGTGACCATCCCCCCGGGGGGTGATTTCTCGCTTTCTGTCTCTATGTCTCCCTCTGTCT